AATTACATATTTTATGGGATCCAATTCGATTTTTCTTGATTAGGATCATTTCCTCCTAATCATTTGACATTCTTTCGTTTGAACTTATATTTATTACTCGGTTATCTTTTGTCCATCCTTAAATGGAATTCAACAAGTTAGACTAAAGCATCGGAAAAACTAAAACTTTGAGGACTAATATATCGAAAATAAAAGATTTAAGGACTGCAGTAAAAATTTGAAATTTCAAGTACTGCATTAATTATTAATTTTGGCATCGAGGCTATTGTCAATGTTTCATAACAAGACTATAAAATAAATTCAATTTAAAAAGGACAAATGACATGTTGGGAATTGGCATGTTCAATGTCTGTATTTCCTTCAAATCCGTTCACGCACTGTGACCTTTCTTGTTCGACAAATTTCAATTCATCCATCCCTACAGTCATGCAAGGGAACATTGAACTTTTAGCACCTCCACTGTGTGTACTTTCCATGATCCTCTGGTTCATACTTGTCCCAATAAGAAGAAAAATGCATGTAAAATCTTTCAATTAAGTTTTTTAAAGCGATCGTGCTTCATGAACACGAGACATCTATAAACATTGTTAGTACACATCACTATGTGTGAATGATGATATTCATACAGAATTTCACGACAATGTAGAACTTATAGCAATATCTAACTAATGTGAAGCATGTCATGTAACATATTGGTCGTAGATTAAGTACGTGAAAAAGAAAGTACAAACAAAGAGACGTACGATATATTATTGAATTATTCTATCCTCTTTACAGGAGGGTGTCGATGGTTTAAATTTGAAATGAAGACGTATTTCTTGATAGTCAATTCCTACTCAAAAAGTCTACATTCTACTTAATTCTTGTTTGGTACAAATTCTTTAAAGCTTATTTTCTCCAAACTCAATTTCAATAACATATTCTTCTAAGAAAATAATTTTATATATAGACCCATAATTTTTTTCCTACTTTTTAACCACTCCAAAAAATCATTTCTCACAAAATTTATTCTAAAAAGTCTAAATCAAACAAACTTTTAATTTTCATATTGTGGTCAACGAGGCCATGGGCATGTGGTCCTTTGGGTTACATTTGAAGTCTGAACGTGTGGAAAGTATTGTGATCAAGTCTCTTCATCGAGTTCAATTCTTGACATTATCCAAGACTAGAGATGACTAGTCCAATTATTAGGCCAAATTTGAGAAATTAACGTACTTAAAGAGAAAATTTGGACACATACAAGTGTGAAATTAGGACCAAAGGCACTAGCTATTGTCACCTGTTCAGTCAACATGTGGCGGCCAATAAAACAGCAATGCCGGCAATTAATTGACAAGACTTCCGTCGTGAGGCTCCGTTGAATTCGGAGGGTTTGCACAGTTGCTTTCAAAATAACTATCGTTTATACATTCAAATATGATACTCGACACACATTTCCTAAATATCTCTTCTAAAAATAAAGTTAGCCAATCGAATTCCCTAACGATTTAGGAGACTGAAAGTAAACACGAATAGTTACATTTTATGGACAAAATTAATTTCTATAGTCGACTCTAAATGTCAGTCATTATACCTAAATATTATGGGAATGGACACCATTAATGGCCCTTTTTTGGATTTTCCGAGCGTCACGGGAGAAAAGAATAATGAAAAAGAAGAGCATGCAGCCATTTTTAATAGTCCCTTTTCTTAGTTATTATCCCTTTGCCTGATTGGAAAAGAAGAAGAATAAAGAGATAACTTGCTAATTACATTATCTCTGCATAGAAGCGTTTGGTGCACATAAAGATTGACCATTTTCAAGCAATGACAATTTTATGTAGGTTTGGACATCGGGTGGGTCAATCCGGATATTTCAACACCCAAAACCACATATTATGCTTTGGGTATCTCGTAAATGAAATCATTTGAGTCTTTCTAAATACTGGAATCAAACCCAAATCCAAACTGTCAAGTCCTATTTGGTTTCGGTTCTATCCATAATATTTTTATATACATTTATTTAATAAATATGCTATATAGACTCTTTTGGTACATAAACCTAATACGCTGGTACTCGAAAATATATGTGCAATGGAGAAAATCTAGTTAAAAAATCTTCAAAAAGCAAAATATTGGATACTAAAAGTCACGAAAATAGGAGAAAATAAGAATAAAAATAAAAATAAAAAATGGGATTATAATTTTTAAAAAAATAACTTTTCTTAATAAATCTTATTCGATCTATAAGAGATGTATACTAGGCGTATAATTTAATTATGAACAATGCTTGATTTCTTCGACCTGCAAAAAGAGCTGATATAAAAAATTCTAATTAAATATATAACTAATATAGTATTAAAAAATTACGGTCCACATATTGAACTCGCTTTGTTTGAATAAAAAATAAATATTTAAAAAGAGAACAATGAACTTAAGATAACAAAAATGTACAACATAGCTCGAGCAATGAAAATATGAAATTTAATTGCCATGCGTTAAAAATCATTTAAGTTTATTAATAATACAAGAAAGTAAAAAGTTTGAATTGCAAAAGAATGAACGCTTTGATTCATCAACTTATATTATAATCTGTTAGAAATTTTTGATTTATAAAAAACTGAAATTGTAAACATTAACATATAATAACCTCTAAGATGCAACAATTTGATGTAAGGTGAGATGTAAAAAAGTAAGAACCAGTCTGAGTTTAAAGTTTTAGACAAATTAATACCAAAAATTAGGATTTTTAGGTTTTATATGTTTTTTCCAACCAATGAATTATAAATAAAAATTTTGATAAAAATTGGTCCCATTCAAGTACTCACGGCTTTGGTTCAAGGATCAAGAATCGAACCAAACCCAATTGATTCCTGATTCTCAGTTCCAACTCTTAATTTATTTTTTCGGGAATCGAATCGAAACATTTGGTTCGGGAGATTCAGTACTGATTAAAATGCTAGGCCTACTTTCATGGCACACAAAGGTA